CTTGTGTGCTGTTCCCAGGGGAGGGAGGGTCCTAGCCCCACTCAGACTAAAGGTGGGCGTGGTGCCCAGACCTCCTTGCAAAGTCCACCAGTGGACTGAAGAACATTTAGTCATGGTTTTGGGAACCCCAGTCATGAGCTGAGGGGCCTGAGGCTGGGAAGTGTCTCTGGTTATCATGTAGGTTCACCTCATGGCTTCCATATGGAGGATCATCAGAGCATACTGCTTAGGTTTTGATTTTTATTTTTCAGCAAACAGCATTTTGTTTACTATCATTATAGTAACTCAAAGCAACAACAGAATTGATAATACAGTTTAGTATCTTCAAGCAGATTTTCCAAGTGTTTTGGAACCTCATTTGTATTGACAAAAAATAAACTATATGAAATTGAGTTAGGTTCATTTTACTGGTACAGCCTGACAATCTGAAGAAAATAATCCATTTATATTTAATACAATTATTCATATATTAGGGTTTAAATAAAATATATTCTTGTTTTACCTTAAATCAACATTTTATTTTGAACAATTTTCTAAAAGATTTATTTATGAAGCTCTCGCTGGTGGTGCAACAGGTTAAAGTGCACTGTGAAGCTAGCCACAGCTACTTCAGCATGAATTCCATCCCTGGCTGGGAGCTGACCCACATGTGCAGCAGACCTCTCCTGTCTTGCCCGCATACAAGAACTGGGATACAGGCCACAAGTTCAGGGGGTGAGAAGATTCACCAGAGATAAGTAGGCAGACTGACCAAAATACACTGCTGTGGGGAGCAGCAGCTGAGCAGTAGAGGTCTGCTGTGCCATGTGGGTCATCTACTTGACCGGGGATTAAACTTGTGGTAGCTGCGGATAGCTTCATAGTGCTGCTCTTTAACCTCTTGCATCACCAGGGAGGCTCCAGTTTTATTTTTTAGAGATTTATTTACTTTTGTGTAGAAGAACTGGGCTGTAGGCTGGAGGTAGGGGCTGAGAGGATTTACCAAAGACAGAATGGGAAGCAGATCTACTGAAATAGACTACTGTGGGGAGCAGTGGGTAAAACAGTAGAGGTCTGTTGTGCCATGTGGGTCAGCTCCCTGGCTGGGAGATCGAACCCAGGCCACGGTGGTGGTTTTCATACAGGGCATCATGAGGCACTAGACTAACTTGGTCAAGGACACTCACTGTGATTTCTTCATCCACACATACAATTGCAGGACTATTCAGGTTTGGAGAACAATAATGGGACTTATTTTACAAACCATGGAAAAACAGTTACTGAGGTCAAAAATGGCCATTAATCTCACCTGAAGCAGTGTCCAGTGTTTTTGAAGTCCTAAATACAAATACTCTAAAGATGGCATCTTCCTGCCACTGTGCACGTGGCAGCCAGACTAGAGGCTGGGTTCCAATTCACTGACAACAGAAGATGCAATAGGAGATTTTCCTGGAGCTGCTAAGATGCCCCAAACACAGCACCAGATAAGTGACTGAAAACAGCAAATACAGTGGCTGAAATACCCAACAAGCAGCCACACTCACGAAACTCGTTGAAGTGCCCACCTCCAGGTCTTCGTCTTCCTTGCTAGGCTGTAATAGCAGCAAAACCAGAAAAAGTCGCTCAGCTACTTGCAAAGTCTCCAAACTTTTCCTCTCTGAGGTTGTCTGCTAAGAACCTCTACATGTTCTTCAGAGGCGGGCAACAGCCTTCTGGAAGGCTGGCATGGTGGGGGCAGAAATCACTGACCCTAGAATTGCTAAGATATGAAAACTATGAATTCCAAACACTGAATGCTGGGAGCTGATTCCACAGTGCTTTGTATTTCTTATCAGTCTCTCCACCCCAGAACGCAAAAATTCAATACTTTGTTCGCATTTTCCCATGGGCCTGCCTATCCTCACCAGCACTCACCTCCAGGGAACCACCTATAACAGTCTTTGGCTTCAGCCATAGGTTATACGCTGTCATAGTGGGAGCACTGAGACTTAACCCTTAGGCCACCAGGGATTGCTATTATTATTATTTTTAAAGATTTATTTATTTATGCATACAGAACCGGGGTACAGGCCAGAGGTGCAGGAGCACCTCTGCAGAGGATTCATCAGAGAAACAGTGGGGTTCAGAGTGGGCAGAGCAACAAAGTACACTGCTGATGGGCGCAGGGGGCGAGACAGGAGAGGTCTGCTGCACCATGTGGACCTCCTCTGGGGCAGGGCTCTGCGGCTAGCTTGCAGTGCTGCGCCCTAACCCATTCAGCCACCAGGGAGGGCCCAAGGATTGCTATTATTTTGAACAATTTTAGATTTACAGAAAAATTGTGAAGATAGTAAAGAGAGTCCCTATGTACCCCACACTCAATTTCCCCTATCATTAACATTATACTTCACTGATTTTTACAATTAATGAATCATTGATATTATTAACTGAAGTCCACACTTCATTCACACTTGTTTTTATTTTATACCCTTTTTCTGTTTCAGGATCCCATTACATTTGGCTGTCAAGGTACATTACATTTGGCTGTCAAGTCTCCTTAAGTTCCTTGAGTCTGAGACTTTTTCAGGTTTCTCTTGTTTCTTATGGCCTTGACAGTACTCAGAAATTGAGGTTAAATATTTTGTAGACTATCCATCAGTTGGGTAGTCTACAATTTACTTGGTGTTTTTCTCATTAGAGTAGGGCTATGAGTTTTGGGGGAGAAAAACAATAGGTAACATGCCATTTTCATTGTACCATCGAAAGGGCCTATCAGTAAGATTTGTCATTGACTTTGAGGCTCATTGAGGTAAGTTTCCTCCTCCCCAAAGCTGTTCTCCTCCATCCCCCTTTCATACTATACTCTTTGCAAGATGAACACAACTGCATTTGCAGGGTAGACAGTTAGGCTCCACTTCCTTGAAGATGGAGTTGCTACATGTATCATGTAATCTGTCTTCTCACCTGTTTGTTTACTTATATCTATACAGACTCACGAGAATTTATTTTACACTCTGGGTTATAATCCTGTATTATTTTTGTTGCTCAAATTACTCTTTCACCATTGAGATCACTATCAGTTAGCTTCTATATCCCTTGTGAACTGTCCCTATCATGGTAGCTTAAAAACACACTTCCTTAGTTTCTGGCACTACAAAATACTTCAGGGATATCCTGTGTATTTCCTGCCCTAAGCCTTTCCTCCAAAGTGTCCTAATTCTTTTTACTGAAGTATGGCACTTGAGCTGTAGGTATGCATGTTGGCCATAGGTGGCATTACTCCTAGGCCTTCTCATCTGACAAAGCAAGGAAATAACGTTTAAGAATATAATCTAATTCATAGAAATCTATACATACCTCTACCTGAACGTGAATCAAGCTAAACCTAGTTCATACTGATGTCTCCAACTCTACATAGATTACTCTAGCCTAGCTTATCTGTAAACTACCACTACAACAGTGGGAAACCTGACTCCTATCACCCACTATTTGCTTAATTAATTGTTCCATTTGAGAACACAGGTAGAGTGGCCTAAGAACTGTTAACAGTTCCTCCATGGGACACACCAGTGTCAACTAGAGCACACTACTATGTAGTTTCTTCTGCGATGTAGTCTTGCAGATTCCACTGATTTCTAAGGCACCCGCTCACCTCCTTCAGTGAAGTTACTTCATACACTGTGTACAGTTAGATTCTGATTATTTTTCATTTCATATTCTGACCTAAGTGGTGTATTTTTTAAGTTTCCACATTTTAAGGTTTATTCTGTGTTGCAGAGTTCTCTGAATTTTGGCAAATAGTGTCATACATTCTCCACTACAGTATCATCTAGAACAGTTTCAGAATTCTCCCAAAAACCTATACTTTGTTGGCCTTGTTTATGAATAATTTTTATTTTATACCACTTCCCCTTTATTAGTTTGATGATTATACACTGCTTTTCTATTTAGTGGCTCACAAAACATACAGTGATCAAAAAATCCATCCTTACCTTACCAGTGTGAACACTGGCACTTCCTGCCAGTACATCGTAAACATCACCTTAGTATATGCTGACTCCACTTGCCACCACCTAGCTCCTAGGCTGCTGGATCACATATTTTAACTCCCTAACTGTATTACATTTCAAACACCATGAGACCTTACCATTTTTTGTTTATAGTCAACATTTATATACCTTCCCACACTATTTTCCACTTTCATTGTTTTTTATTCCTTATTATTATTATGGTTGAAGATAATTTTTGAGAATTTCCCTTAATCTGAACCTGCTGGTGGTGGACTTAGCTTGTGTTTATCTGAAAATATCTTACCAATTCTTTCCTTAGTTATGTTCAATACACTCCTAAGGCTACTTATTAACATTTTCATTTACTATATTTTTCTAACTAAAATTTCTCTTGGGTGTGTGTGTAGAATAGTAAGAGGGGGCTGACTGGATGGTTGTGGTTTGTGTAAAATTTGAGATTCAAAATCTGAGACTGTACATCTGAAATTTAAGATTTTGTAAAGCAATAAAAACCAGTACCAATAAAATCTCTATTCACTTCTTTTCCAACTGTGCTGTTTTTGTAGTCTTCTGCTGGTCACTGCTGAAATTTCTAAGCTTGGCTTTTATCTTCTTGTAATAGTAAGCATGATCTTTTCATTTTTATGTAGTTCTAATACATGGAATTTCTATTACTTGTTTGTTTGGCTTCACTTACATTGCTTTATCTCTTCAAGTGCTTAATTAACTTTTATAATATTGTCCAATGTTCGTTAGACTTGAAAAATAATCTGATACTTTTGAGATCTAGGCAACAGGGAATGGAAAAATGCAATCCTTCCCATTCCCAAGCCATGGCTACAGACACCAGGTACCCTTAATGTCCAATGTTTCTTAACTGCTCTGGTAACTGAATTCAGTTCCCCTAGACAGACCCCACTGGTGGCCTCTAAAACCAAGAAATTGTCTTCAGCCAACTTTCTCTCCCCCAGAAAACAAACGCCAAGACACCCTCACAACAAAGATCACACCATTTATTTACAAAGGCCAGTGTGGGAGTAGAGGGTGGGTGGGAGGGATGAGCCACACAGACATCCTCTCTAGATTGCTTGGGACCCTTTCCCACCTGGAGCAAAATTCTGTTCCCTCTGCTTCCACATTCTCAGTCATGGTGGCCCAGGCAGCGGGCTAGTGGCAGAGGAAGCAGGGGACACAGGCCTCCTCTGCTCCAGTAGAACAACGTCCAATTCTAGATCAAAGACATCACTGCCACCCTCTTTTCCTTCCTCAAATTGACCTTTCTGGCTTAGAGGGAAATAGTAAAACTCGAAGAACAGGGGCTAAGATGCCAAAGGTCAGGGGCTCAGGAGGGATAGATCCCTTTACCAAGGGCCCAAAGCAATGAGGGGTGGAAGGCGCTGGCCACCGCTGGGAGCTTCAGGAGGCCAGCACTGAAAGGTCCAAGGAACCCAGCTCTGCAGGCTGTATACTACCCTGCCCCAGCCTGGCCTCTGCCTACCAGTCTGGTAGGAAAGAACTCGGAACCAGTAATCATCAACCACTGCCCCTCAGCTCACACAGGTATGTGGGTGATCCGCAGCCACCCACACCAGTGACAGACCAGGCCCTGATTCCCTTCAAGTCCTTGAGGGAGGCTCAACCGCTAGTGCCCGGGGACACAGGCCGATCCTAGGGCTGTGGAAACCGATCCTAGGGCTGTGGAAACAGTGAATGTACTCAGGAGCAAGTATGCCTGAGGAAATGGCGCCAATATGACCCCAGCTGAGACCTTGTGGAGCCCCTTTCAACAACTCAAACTCCATTAGCATCTCTAAGTCTCCTCTTCGGGGCTGACCCTGGACTCCTAACCGAAAGAGCAGGTAGCACTCCCTCACAGTCAACACAGCCCGCTCTTGACAGCCCGCTCTTGACAGCCTGCTCTTTACTCAGGCTGGTTCCCCTGCCCCTTTCCTCCGGGGAATCTCACTCCCTTCTCCTCTGCTCTCCTGGACCAGCCCAGGGCTGGCTAATTCCTTGTGCAGAAAACTATCTCATCTCCCATTCAGCCAGGGAGAATAGGCATCTTCCTCCTACCCCTTCAAGCCCCAACAGACCCTGAAAAAGTGCTGGATGAAGTGACCAGAATAGGAGGTGAGGAGGAAAATCAGTCTGTTACGTCAGCCCCTCCTTCTGAGTATGAAATTCTAGCATTGGTTAGGGTGGGGTAGGAGGAAACTGGGACAGAGAAAGAAGGAAAAGAGTTACTGAAAGGAAACAAGACGAGTCAACGCTCGTGTTTCAGGTGGAAGACCCTGCTCGGTCAGCACTGAGAAGTCTGAAGATTGAAAGAGGTGGTTGTGGGGCAAGGAGCTAAGGCCAATCAACAAAACCTGAAAACCTCTTACAGAGCTCTGCTCAGGTAGAATGTAGAGAAAAAATTCCGTGAGAGATGCAGAAGTAAAACCAACATTCTCAGGCAGAGCTGTGGGGTGAGACCGGGCCTCTAGTCTCCCTGCTGCTGGACAGGACAGGGAGCACACAGGAGGGATGACAAGCTGCAGGTAGGGGCAACAGAGGAACCAAACGCTGGCTTCAGGGGAGGGAGAGGCAGGAGGCACAGCCGGAGGAGGGATTAGGAGAGTTGAGAGCCCAGGAGTCTCTCGATTGCTGCATTGATGTCCCCGCCTGTGGCAATCAGAGCCTGCAGGTTGGCCTCCCGATTGATGAAGCCCATGGAGTTGAGCTGCTCCAGCTGCTGCTGAAATCTCACTTCTGGCGTCTGCACCTGCTGGGGACAGGCCTCGTGAAGTCGGCACTAGACCAGCACCAAGGGAGCCGACTCAGAATCAACCAATGGGGCAGGATGGGGCAGAATCAACCAGCAGGCATGGATCTCGTGGCCCAAGTCACTAAACAATTGTGTAATAAGGAGGCGGGATGGGAGGAAGGTTATCTTAACATTTCAAACTAACAGGCGTGGATCAGCTGCTCTCCCCATCACTGGAGATGTTAACAAGCACTCTAGAAGCCAGAGCTCTGTAGCGGATGACGCAAGCTAAACACGCCCTCCAGAGCCTGTCCAGGCCGTATCATGCATGCAGCCATATGAAAGGCCAAAGAAAGGTCCCTGGAAAGAACCTGTTTTTTGTTTAAGCCATCAACACAGTTACTTGCAAAAGAGTATTTCTCATTCTTGACATTCATGAACATCTGGAAATGTTTTCCTAGGACATGTTTAGGAGGCACAGAAGAGGCTCAACAATCACAGGCCATCCAGCCACTGACAGGGGAAGGTGCAGCTCAGAGAAGGAAGGGCCTGTCGCGGCCACAGAGCAGTCATTCACGAAGGGCCCTGCCATGCAGGACGGAAGCCCTTCCTGGCTCAGGACAACCCCTGCCACAGCCTGCGCTTAAGCTGGCTGACCTCTGGTGATCACTTGTCCAGCCCCCCCCCCCCCCAGGCATCTCTGTGGACTGGCTTCTCCTAGACTCATCTAGTCATGGAGATCACAGAAGGGTTAAGAGGACCACCCAATCAATGTCATTTCCAATCCCTGGCCTTCACTTTGCAGCCCAAGGATCATCACTTCACTCCCAGAACCTCCCTCTTGTCTCACAGATGGAGTCTGCTTTAATTATCAAAATAAATCCTCTGATATAAGAAGTGGTATAACAGCAATTAAGATGTAAATTCTGGAGCCAGAATGCCTCAGTTTGAATACTGGCTCCATTTCATACTAGCTGTGTGACTCTGAGGAACCACTTAACGTCTCTGGGCTTCAGTTTCCCCCTCTGTAAGACAATTAAAAATATATATATTTGGGCCTTCCCTGGTGGCACAGCAGGTTAAAGCACAGCACTAGAACAAATTTATTTCATTTATTTATGCATACAAGAGCTGGGGTACAGGCCAGAGGTGCGGGGTGAGAGGATTCACCAGAGACAGAGAGGGGGTGCAGAACAGGCGGATCCACTGAAATACACAGCTGAGGGGACCAGCAGGGGAGAGGTCTGCTGTGCTATGTGGGTCAGCTCCCTGGCCAGGATCATGCTGCAGTGGCTGCGGACAGCTTCACAGTGCTGAGATTTAATTCCTTGTACCACCAGAGAGTTCCCACTATTCTCACCTCCATTTTACAGCCATAGGAACTGAACTCAGGAGCTGACTTTCAGAGGGCTAAAAAGTCAGCCAGAATCTAAAGTCAGAGTCATGCAAATGGGTTCCGCTGCCTCCATCCTCTGCTGGCCTAACACTGCCAGGATGAAGGTAGTGGTCCCACCGGTCCCCTGCCCCGCATACCTGCGAGTTTCCACTTCCGGCCAGAAGCTGGATCATGTGCTGCATGAGCTGCTGCTGGGCACTGGAGGCCCCTGTTGGAGAAGATGTGGCTGGGGGGGCTGGTGAGGAGGTGGGGGCCTCAGGCGCAGACCCGGTGTTGCTGCCTGCCGAAGGTGCTGGGGTCCGGGACATCCCGAAAGAGCCAAGGCTGTAGACAAGAGAAACCAAGAGGTGGGAAATGGCATCGGTGAAAGGGGCGGAGAAGTGTAATCCAGAAGGAAAAGCTGATGGAAGAAATGGGAAGACACTGGCAGAGGCTGCTCAGACCGCAGAGGGCAGGGTAAAGGGGAAGAAAACCAGAACCTTGCTGCCCAGCTGGCCCCACTCTCACCTAGGTACCAGCCCAGGGGCCTCGGTCTGCAAGGTCTGCAGTCCCTGCTGGATCTGCAGCAGCGCCTGCATGGCACGGGGATTGGTGAGGATGGAGAGCGACTCTGGGTTCTGCATCTGGTGGGAAACGAGCAGACAGGCAGTGGGGGATGGCAGGAGATTCAGGGCCCTCCCCTGCCCTCCCTCCTGGCCCCTAGCTCCTCCTCACCTGCTGCAGGAAGACCGGGAGTTGCAGGCGGAGCTGCTCCTGCAGCTGAGGGTTACCAGCAAAGAGCGGCACGTTCACCATCATCTGCCAGGGGGAAGCAGGCAGGGGGAGGCCAGGGCCCACCCACCCTAAGAATTCCCTGCAGCCTTAGGCTCCCTGGGCACCACCTCTACTGGAGGAAATGTGGTGAGCTTCCCCAAGGACCTCAAAGTATGCTGCAGGCCTAGGTGGGACAGTGAGAGGAAATGGAGCTACAAGCTTGGCTATGACACCCGGGGCCCAGGGTTCGATGACCACGACCAGCATTCCGACTAGTGCGGCCTGACTGTGTGCTAAGCCCCACTCCAAGCGCTCTAGATGTGTGTGCTCATTTAATCCTCACAGCTCTGTGAGCAGGAACTAATGTGACGACCATTTTACAGAGAAGGGAATGGAGAATAACTTGCGTGTAGTTTGTACAGCTAGCAGGTGGCATAACCTGAGTTCCAGAGCCAGCAGCCTGGCTCCAGAGCTTCTTCGCCACCACCAGAGGTGCCCTCCACCCCAGAATCTCTCCCAGCACACCCCCCTGTGCCAGTGTGGTACCTGAGCAGCAAAGTCAGGGTTCTGGGCAAGTGTCTGCATCATGCTCCGCATGTAGGGGGCTGAGATCACGTTCTGCATCAGCTGGGGGTTCTCAGAGATCTGCTGGAGCAGGGCCTGCATTTCTGGGCTGTTGAACATCCCTAGGACAAGGAGGAAAAACAAAACAGAAGAAAAGGGGTCCAGATGGAAACCAGATGCCTTGCTTCATTCTGCTTACTCCAGACGCGGAGTGGCGACTAAAGCCAGAAGGGCACCACAAGGTGGGTCCAGGCCCGTCCTAACCTCAAGGTCATCTTACATTGCTTCGGCCTCGCCTCTCCCATCTACTCTGCCACGGACAAGCCAGCTGGAACCTGAGTCTGACTCGTGCCCCTCTAGACTGTTCCTGCCACCAACCCAGATGATACCAGAGTTGTGATCACTAGAAAAATGGTTTTCAAACTTGTCTTAGTGGCAGAGGTTCTTCCTCAATCCCACTCTTGCTCAGAAACTAAGTATGTCAGCAGTCTGGCTGGGGATGGTCCAGACCCCTCCCCTCCCTGCCCACCCCCGACTCAGGAGCACAACTTTAAAACCAAGGAACAAGTTCAAGTCCCTCATTTTATAAATAAGGGAACTGAAACACACAGAGGGGCTGGGACCTGCCCAATCAAGATGACCCTCAGAAACAGAGCAATCAGGGCATCTACCAAAGACATCCCCAGGCCAAAGGTCGTCATAGTCCAGGTAAATGGGGCACCCCCAGGTTGCGCAGTGCGACACCTGCACTTCTGCACATGCGCTGCACATCCCTTTCCCCAGTCTATGCCCTGGTCTGCCCCAGTTCCTCTCCCACACCCTCCTCTGCCTTACCCATTTACCCTGGGTAGTAGCAGCAGTGCTGAAAGAGCTTAGGAGGTGGGGCCTAGTTAATTCATGAGCCATTACTTGGGCCATTATTGCCAGGGACATGAGGACATGGCCGGAACCACCCCTCACTCTCTGAGGGTGGAGCCACTACCCCAGGCTGCAAAGCCTCCTCTGTGGCTTCAATATAGTCTCGCCTCTGCCTTCAATATCCTGGAGCCCACTCAGTGTGAAGCCCACTCAGTTCTAGGAAGAGAGACTGCCCTGGTGACCCCACTAAACTCCTTCCACCCCAGGACATACCTGACCCCAGGCTAGCCGCATTGATCCCAAAGGGGTTCGAGACTGTCGGGTGCACCTGGCTGGTCCCCGATCCTCCGGTGCCCTCCCCACCGGACCCGGGGGCCTGGGAGGTGGGGGTCGAGGGGCTCCAGGGGTTAGGGAGGGGCTCTCGGTTCTCAGTCCGCAGAGGCTGGGAGGACGAGCTGTCGGAGTTCCCGGCCAGGGAAGAGAAGGGATTGTTGCCAAACTGGGAGGAGGGAAAGGTTTTGGATTAAGGACTGAAACAAAACAGGGACAAGGGCTAGGCCCTTTCTTTCATCTCACCTACCAGCCTCCCCTTCCCCAGAAAAGGGAGAGATCTAAGACCTTAGAGGTCCTCCACTCCACTTCTGTCCCCACACGGGCAGCTCCGCCCTCACCTGCAGGTGGGAGCAGGCTGACGCTAGCAACTGAGTAGCTGAACACCCGAGAGAGCTGGGAACTCCCCGTCTCCCCGAGGGGCTCTAAACATGGTTTCTAATCTTCTCTGCCCAGCAGTGCTTTGCCCTTTATCCACACCCCTCCCACTGTGCACCTAGATACCGGTTTCCCTTAGCTTCCAAAGGGTAGAGATACAACCTTTGCACCCCAGCCCTTGCCACTAGTAGGTGCTCAGTAAGTAATTGTTAGGCGAGACCCAAGTCTCCACCTCAACCCTGACCTGCCCCAGCTGCCCGTTCAGTGAGTCCCCGGTCCCCAAAGTGGCCATCTGTCCACAAAGGCATACCACACAGGGGAGGCCCTAGGGAGAACACGTCTGGCTGAGCTTGTCCTGCCTAGTCTTTTTCCCCCTCCACTTCTTCCCCCCACCTCGGTTGCTCCACCCCCACCTCCTAGCAGTGGAGGGCCTCAGCCTGGCTGCTTCGGCTGCACAGTTCTGAACACCAGGCTCCTCACTGTGCTACCCAGATTCATCCTGAGGCCTGATCCTGTCACTTGCTCATGGTGGCACCTGGGCCTCCTCCCGCTGGAGCCGCGAGCATCCAGGGTCGCGCTCTGGCCAAGGGCGTTCTCCTGAACCCCAGGCCCCGCTCCCCTTGCTCAGCCTTCCTCTCCCAAGGTCCTAGGTGGTTATGGCCCAAGGAGTTAGCTGGGTGGCCTCAGTCCCTCCCCTCTGGAGCGGAGGGTTCCACCTCCAGCCCCTTTCCTGTTGACTCAGTGAGGGTCACGGGGACAGGGCTGACCCAGGATGCTTCTGCTCTGCGCTGTGGTGCTTTCCCCTCCCCAGATGCTGGTTCAGATAACGGGGAGCACAGCCACCGTTTCAGACTTTGTCCTGATTTCAGGTTTCCTGTACTGGTGACTTGCCTCACGCTCAACATCACCTAGTTCTGGGTAGTGCCTTGACCTTCCCTATGCACCCTAAGGATGGGATTCTCTTTCTGAACTCTTTACAGTGATAACAGCTGCCATTTACTGAGCACCTACTCTACGCCTAGCACATTTATTCTGTTTATAATACTCCAGTTCTCCAAGTGTGATCCTAGGACCCCTGCAACATTTTAAATGGCTTTTAAAATTCTAAGGCATTATTTGCCTTTTCCACTCTCATTTACTCTTAAGTTATTCAGTGGAACTTTCCAAAGACTACATAATATGTGACAATGCAACAGATCCCATGCAGAAGCAGGTATGAAAATCCAGCTGTCTGGTAGTCAGCCACATATTAAAGAGAGCTGCAAAACGTAAAACAAGGCCACTCTTGCCTTGGAAGTTCTGTTTCAGAAAAAAAGTTATTTTTCAAAAGATAATGCTATGTATGTTCATAGTAACAGATTTATTATTTTTAAAGTGAAACAGATCTTTATGAACTTCCTCGGTTTTCATTTCAAATACAGTCAAAAGCAATAGATCTCACGCACAAAAACAAATGTTCTTTGGGGTTCTTGATAAGAGCGAGCATAAAGGGGTCTTGAGACCAAAGTGATTGAGAATGACTACTATAATCTGTTGCCTCCACTTTGAAAATGAGGAAACTCCGGGTCAGAGAAGCTGGGGCAGCTCATTTAAAATCCCATCACTAGAAGAAAATGGTGGGAAGTACTGGAGTCCAGGTCTGCTGATGCCAAATGCAATGTCAAACCAGTGGTTCTCACACCTTAGCACGCAGCAGTTCTAAGTCTTTCTCAGCTATTTGACTCTTTAAAGCCAAGTACATGTGTAACTTTGATAAATTTTAAATACTTAAAATCTAAAATGAACAGATTGCTTTAAAATTTAATAGCTGATCCCTATAACAGAGGCTAGACTGGAAAGGGCAATGCCAGTAACAGCCAAGAGGATGTCGAAGAAAAAGCTGGGGGACCCGCACCAGCCGATCCCCAGGCTTCGGACAACGTGGCTCCCCTGTAGGGAGGCAGAGTCACGGGGAGGTGTGCAGTCAGCAACGCGCTCAGAGCGCACTCAGAGACGTGTGCAGACAAGGAGTGCGCGGGAGCGCGTGGGGCCCTGGACACAGTGCACTTTCCTCCCCGCAAAGAAAAAGGGCATGTGGGACCCCACCCTCCACACAGACGCTGTGTGTTCAGCCTGTGCCAACCCATCTAACTAATTCACGGTATGTACCCCTCCTGTGGCTGTATTATTCTTTGGTAAACATCTTTAAAATATTTATAAAAAAATGAGTTTCAGAATTAAATTAACACCATGATACCACTTCTCAGATACAGTCAAAAGTAAGAGGTCTCACCCACAAACACAAAGGTCCTTTGGGGTTCTTGATAAGTAAGAGCATAAAGGGTTCCTGAGACCAAAATGACTGAGAACGCTGCTCTGACCTATTGCCTCCACTTTGAAAATAAGGAAGGTTTAGGTATCTGCAAGACAATACTGCGCGTTAGTTACGGCCATAGACAGGTAATACAAGAAATGAAACCACAAACACCAGTGCTGGTGGCAGTTAGCTCTGGTGAGGGGAGAGGCAGAAACGGGGAAGGAGGCCAATACTAGCTTCGTCTAGGAAAAATACAAAAATCTAACATTAGTTACCTCAGAGGTAGAAGAGGTAGATGAGAGGTAGAGCAGAGGTACCTCAGTGTGCATCCACCTTCCCTGCTTTTAAGTATCCTTCTGTCAACTGTATAGCTTTTGAATTTTCAAACATGGAAATAAATGCATTTAATGTAAATTAAACTTTAAAAAAGAACCCTAAAAGGCACCAAAACTACACATGGCAACGTCTCGGGGCAACATGGATACAAGAGCATGTTCTATTTTTACCTACATTTTTTGTATATTTGGAAAGATTTCACAAAACATTTTTAAAAGTGCATATTCTAGGGCCTGATTCCAGAGATTGATTTAATAAATAGCTCCATGGTGGCAGCCAGGAGTCTTGTGATTAACAAGCTCCCAGGAGATTCTGAAGCAGGTGATCCACGGACCACACTTGAGACTCACTGTGCAGGACTGGCTCTCTGACCCCAGGCCTGCCCATAACCTTTGAGCCACTGGTGCAAGTCTGTCAGAAGAAATCCAAATCCTTTGGATATGATGCCTCACCCACTTTCCCAGGGACTATGCTGTCTGCTGCCCTAGTGCCTCCGTCCCACACCAAGCTGGACCATCCCTCGCTATGCACTGCTTTCAGCCCAAGCCCTCCCTGTATGGTGTATGGCTGGGAGGAGAGAGAGTGGACACACCGGGGCTGGCCTGGGCCTGGGGGTGGGGATCTGGAGCCCAGATGGCCTTCCCACAGCCCGGCCCCCGGCCCCACCTGCTCCCGGGCAGCACTGAACATGGGCTCCTGGATGTCCGTGTACATGCGGCGGAGGGCATTATACCCTCCAGGGATGCTCTCCAGGTTGCTCAGGGCGCGGTCCTGGTTCCGCATCATCTCTTGCATCATGGCTGGATTTCGGGCAAGCTCCATCGTCTGAGGCAAAAGGGAGAGACATAGGATGGGACCTGGAACTGGGCGGCCCCTGAGGACAGGTCAGTATCAGGACCGGGGTCCAGACTCTATCCCACAGTGGCATGGAATATGGTGACGAGACTTCCTTTCTCAACTGTAATCTGGGTTCCAGCCCTGACTCCCTGCGAGTATTCTGGTTGGACTTTTCTAGTGGGGTACGATGAGGTGGGCTGAAAAATGGCAGCTTCCCTCTCTTAGGTTCATGGGTCCACAGATGTGTCAGGGAGCACAAAGAAACGGAGAAAGAAAGCCTAAGAGGACAGGGAGGCATAAGAGAAATGTATTATCTACTGAGCATCTACGACATAAAGGGACTGAGAATTTAAATCATTCAATTCCCACAATAACTGTGTTAGGTAGGTATTTCTGTCCCTGTTTTGCAGATGAGAAAACAGGCTCAGAGAATCACCCGCTGTAGACATACAGGTGGGCGAGGGTGGGGAGTGGAGGCCTTCAGGTAAGGTGGTCTGACCAATACCACACTGCCCATCCCAGATAACACCTATGAGCTGGGGAAGGAAAGGAAAGGAGATGCAATCACCTCCTCTAATCCTTACCCCCACGTCTTTGGCCTGACCAGCCCTGAGAACATGGGATGGGGAGCTTTCTCTTTGAACTAACAGTTCATGCTCAATAAATACAGGTTTGGGTCAACTCCTAGGGCCAGCGATAACAGATGAGCTAGGAATAGCCATTTCTTGCCCCTATCCAACCTGGAATGCCTTCACCGACCTTCTCAAACTTGCTCCACACAATACTTCTTGTCAGACACCTCTGTGGACAGATACACCCAATCTCATGGGTCTCTGATCTCTTATCCCATGATTTATTCATTTGATAAATACTTATTGAGTACTATGCACCAGGAACTTTGTGAGACAGCAAATCAAACATCTGCAAACCCTTCCTTTTATGGAACATATTTTCTGGAAGAAACCAGCATAGTATCCACAGCTCTGCTGAGGTCTGTCCTTGTCCTCTGGAGGACTGGGTCATGAGATTAAGCCAAAAACCAACACAAGGGCCTCCCTGGTGTCTCAAGGCTGTCACCTCTACAGTCTGAGTTTAATCACTGGCTGACCACATATGGCCCAGCAGACCTCTCCTGTCTCGCCCACTGCCCCCCTCAGCAGTGTATCTCAGTAGATCTGCCTGTTCTACTCCCCCCTCTGTCTCTGGTGAATTCTCCCTCTCTCACACATACACCCCCAATCTCTGACTTATACCCCAGTGCGTCTATGCAAACATTTCTTAAAATGTTTTAGTTAATTTAAAAAACAAACACAAAATGCGGCCCCTCGGGATTTCCCAGCCCTGCCTAACCACACAGACTTCTCAAATACCCTACTGTCTTGAACTCCCAGGTCTTTACACGACTGTCCCTAGAGCCTGAACCCTCTCTTAATTCCCCTGGTTCACTCTTCCTCTGTTAAGTCATCTTGGATCACACTTCTCGAAGATCTCCTCCTAGCGGATCCTGTGATTATCTCTGTGACAGCACTGACCACCTCTATTATAGCTGCCTGCTTATTCACACCACTTTCCTTTGAGACCAGGAGTTTCTAGAAATCGAGGTCTATATTTTTTTCATCACTGTATCCCCAGTAATTAAAACACGATTGTTCAATGAATGGTCAAGGCAGGATAAGGTAGCACGAGCTCCCCAGGTGATTCTGATGCAGGACCAGACTTCTCTCATACCCACCTGACGCCTCCCAGCCCCTACCAGATTCCTCTCATACCCACCTGCCTCATGAGCTCAGGGTTGTTGAGCATGTGGCTGATCTCAGGGTTCCGCTCCATCAGCTGTTGCATCTGGGGGTTGGCCATGATCATGTGGCGCATCAGGTCAGGATTAGACATCATGTCCTGTACCAGGGGGTTCTCCATGATCTGAGACAGCATCTCGGGATTAGACATCAGCTGCCTCTGCATTTGCTGCTGCAGCTCCATGAAGTTGGCAGAGCCCAGGCCCAGGCTCCCAAGGCCCAGGATGCCCCCAAAGCCAGCTGTGGGGAGGGGCAGAGTCACAGGAGGCACAGAGTCACAAGGGCTTCAAAAGCCTTTCCCCACCTGGCCACTGACTCAGGTTTCCATGAGGGGTACTATCTGATTCTTACTCGTCCCTTTCCAACCATTCCCACAGCCTCAGTCCCAATCCCCTGCAGGTATATGCACTGCCAAGACTAAGACGTGACATAGCACTAGGCATAGAGAGGATAACCCGCTGAATGAGAAACACATGTTCTCCAACTAGCTACTGTGAGATCCACACTCCAAACTCTCACTTAGGAGCCAATGTCCTCACCCAGGGTTCCCTAGCTCTCCTGTCATTCTTAACATTTAGCCACGCTTCCCTCTTCCCGGAAGCTAACACAGATTGACTTCCTCCCCAGCTTAGTTCAAATAGCAATATGACACCCCAAAGTGCCCTATTCCCATCAGACCAGGTGCAGGGACCCTATTTCTACCCCCACTTTGACTCTCCCACACCCCCCAACCAAGACTGTACTCTTCCCTCTCAGGGCTTACAGAGAATGGATGCAGTAGCACTGGGAGGACCCTCCCCAGACCCAGGGGAGGGCCCCCCCCCACTGCTCCTCCGACTTCCACTGCCAGCATCTGAAGCGGCACTGCCAGAGGTAGAGGGCTGGGCAGGGGTGGTGGGTGAAGCAGGCGTGGTGGAAGGTGCAGAGGTAGGGTCTGGAGTGGAGGGGGAAGAAGCAGTGGCAGCAGTTGGATCTTGAGCCCTAAGGACAGAGAAAGAAAAATCCTGGTTGGTGTGAACACAAGGAGAGGGAAGACGACAATCTCTGCGTTTGCCGTGCATCTACTGCCCCAACCCAAGCCACCAATTAAGCACCCCTCCGGTGGGGGAGTCTGTAAATCAGACAAGGGAAAGAGAAGAGAGTAGCATTCTGGGAGGGCTAAGTCAGGCTCCCTTCCTCTGCATAAGGGTGTCTGACAATCCATCCAAAGGTCATCAGCCCTCTAGGTACAGGTGAACGATGGGTGAGAAAGAATGGAGTGTGGGGGGAGAAGCCCACTCAGAGGACGAACCTGTTTCACTCCTGCACTTACTTCTGAGGGGTCTTGATGACCAGATGAACAGTAAGCCCATCCTTGATCCCATGCTGGCTCAGTGTGTCCCCATCCTTTAGGATCTTGCCTGCGAAGATCAGGACCAGTTGATCCTGCTGAGCCTTGAATCTCCGGGATATTTCCTCTTTGAACTGGGAGGAAGAGGCAGAGGTCACTAAGCAGGCCCCCAGGATTCTGCCAACCAAGTACCCTGCCTTTCCTTCAAGAGTCTCTTCATTTCCTTGTCCCCACTTCCTTGCACAGCCTCCGCCTCTCCCTTCAGCTGCAAAAAGCTGCTCCTTCCTCTCTTTTTATTAGTCACTCAATTACTTAATTGAAGCTATTAAAAAGGCCATATAAATTGATGAATTAATTAGAAAAAAAATTCAAAAAGTCACTCCTTTCTAAACCAGTAGATGGATGAGTGTGGCAGCTCTACCCTCCCCCTCAGAGCCCTCACTGCTATGTCACTCCCTCTCAGTCTCTCCACCCAGATAAGGTATTACAGCCTCATAGCTTCCCTCATCTCAACTCCCTCATGGCCTTAGACCCTTCAGCCTTCTCTTCTTAGACCCAAGTTACTGTCCTCTTTATTCCTAACCTTCTTGCAACAACTACAATAAATACATCCCAGTTATACTTGACTGCATGAATGGTTCACAAGTTATAAAGTCTAAGTTCGGGTCCTCCCTGGTGGCACAACTGGTTAAAGCACAGCACCATGAAGCTACCCCAGCCATTGCTGCATAAGTTTGATACCCAGCCAGGGGTGTGACCCACATGGCGCAGCAGACCTTTCCTGACCCCCTGCTGCTCCCCTCAGCAGTGTATTTCAGTACACCTGCCTGTTCTGCTCCCCACTCTCCTGGTGAATTCTGGCCTGTACCTCAGTTCTGTATGTATAAATAAATTTAAAAAAAAAAAAACACGCAAAGCCTTCAGTTAAAAAAAAAGTAAGTTCGAACAAAAACATATTATTATCTCCATTTCAAAGATGAAAAGGAAGGGTCAGTATGATTAGGTAACTTGGCCTGTGCTGACAGGAATGAACTCGGGCATTTACACCAAAGCCCAGGCTCTTAATCAAACACAATGCTTCTCAAATACAGCCAATTTCAAATTCAGCTTTGTAGGCAAAAGAATTTAAATTTGTGGAAAGCAGTCAAATAAGGGGCGGGGTGGACAGTGATGGCACCAAAAGCTGACTTGGGAAGAGCTACACACCCCCCAATCTATCAGCACCTTTCCAAAACAAACAAAACAGAAGCCTAAGTAAAAACACTGCACTTGCTAAGCAAAGGCAGCTTCTAGATTCCTCTCTTCCAACCAGAAGGCCTATCTTAAGCCCCTCCTATGTGAAACTGTGGAGCGGCCAGAGGCGGGTGGCAAACACAGGCAGTATTAGCTCATTCACTCATTCACATTTTTATTGAGCACCTACTGCACAGAATGTAAATCCCAGAGGAACTGAGAACTAAATGCAACCGCTACGATTCGAAAGAAGAGGAAGGACCTGGGCAGAGGGGTATCCTTCCCACCCCCCCACGCCGGGCGCTCAGAGTAGGCTGGGCGTTTGGAGGCGCAGAGTAGGCGCCCGGAGCGCCCCGCTGCGCCCCACGCCGTCTCTCCCGGCTCAGCATCCAGCCCCGGCCCCACTCAGCCTCCACGTCCCGAGCCCAGACCTACAACCACCGGCGCAACTCCCTTCAAACCCAGGGTCCCTTCCCCGTCCCTGGGCGAGATGTCCCCTCCCCACTCTCCACCACGCCCCCAGCCCAGGCCACAAGGCTAGACCTGGCCTCCTTTCCCTAACACGCGCCGCGCTTCCCCACATAACCCTCCCGGGACGCCCCCTGCCCTCCCCAGAGTCCCTCCGCCACTCCGAGAGCCCGCGGGCCCGCGCCCTCTCCCGGTCCTGCCGCCAGCCCGACCGTCACAGTCTCCGAGCCACCCCCCTCGGCTCACAGACCCCTCCTCCGCGCTGCCCACCCCACCCCCGCTGCCCATACTACCTCCTTGACCGAGGCTCGATCGCAGATCACAATTTCCTCCTTGTCCTTGGGGGTCTTGACGGTGACCCGAATGGGGGGCCTCGTCTCGGCCCCGCTCGGCTCCGCCATGCCGCCGCCGCCACCCGGCCGCCCG